TAAAAAAAAAAAACAAAAAAGATGAGTATAGTTGAGGGGCTGGGGAGGTAGCTCCATGGTCTAAGTTCCTGCCTGGCAAGTGCAAGGATTTAGATTGAACCCCTGGTACCACATGTCATACCGACTCTGGCTACTGATAGTGAGCATGGTGGTGCATGCCTATAATCCCAGTATTGGGGAGGCTGAGACAGGAGGATCACTGTGAATCCAAGCTTGTAGTGAGACCCTGTAACAAATCACTCAAGCTTTTAAAAAAGATGAGTATAACTGAACAGTTTAAGTTGGCAATCTTTTTCTAAGAGGATACTATGGAAAATTATGAATGGAAAAAATTTAGAAAATAGAATGCATGTAGTAGTTAGTCTATGTTCCTTTTAATCTTGACTGATTATATAATTTTTCCCCCCACAAGGACAGCATGTTTCCAGAGCACATGTGCTCTGGAATTAGTTACTTAAGTGTTGAATCTTTATTTTACTGTTTTTTTTTTTTTTTTTTTTTTTTTTTTTTTTTTTTTTTTTTTTTTTTTTTTTTTTTTGACAGAACCAGGGATTGAACTCAGGCCCTTGCGTTTGCCAGGGAAGCACTTATTCTACTGAGCCATCTTCCCCGCCCCTGTTGAATTGTTTTTTAGGGGAGTTTTATTTCAGTTTTTGGTGCTGAGGACCAAACCCAGGGCTTCCAGTTTGCTAGGCAAACATTCTAAAACTGAGCCAAATTCCCAGCCCCAAAGTTTTGAATCTTTTAAATTATTTTATTTTTTTGAAACAGGGTCTTGCTGTATAGATTAGACTGGTTTTGAGCTTACTGTGTATGGCCAACATACATGCTTTTGAAAGACATTAAAATATATGCCAATGTTTGAATTCTTTGTTTATGAAAGTAGATGGCCTCAGATTTGTAATGATGTTCCTACTTTAGCTTCCTCAGTACTAGGATTTCAGGCATGTGCCATCATGCCTGATGGTTTTTTTTTTTTTTTTTTTTTTTGAGACAGGATTGTGGTATACCACTTATGCTGACTTTGATCTTGGAGTGATTCTCCTATCTTAGCCTCCTGAGTGCTGGGAATATAGGCATTTGTCACAATACGCAATGTAATCTTTGAATCTCAGCGTTATCCCTTACTAGTTATATGACAATGGGAAATTTAAGAAATTTTTTTGTATGTAGTTTTTCATTTGTAAAATAGAACCAAAAAGAGAATCTACAAGTGAAACACATTTAAAATAATGTTTAAAAAATGGTAAGTATCCCCAAAATGTGAACTCTTCTTACTAATTATAAAGAATACATTTTCCCCCCTTGGAACTGTGGATCAAGCCCAGGGCATCATGTGTATACTAGGCAAGTGCTCTGTCTCTGAGCTGTACTTCCACTCTTGGAAAGCAGGATTTGATTTGTGCTTTTATCCAATTTTAGCCAGTTTAGTTTTCTTAAACTAAAGATGTTAACAATAATGTACTCTAACATTTTTAATATTTAATTTGCATTTTCCCCCTAAAATTAGACACAGGTGGAGTAGGAATCCTATTAAAGCACTTGTGATGAATGTAGTAGTGGACCGTGTATTTATATATAATGTATCTGAATTCTTTGTTTATAAAAGTAGATCTCTGTGTGTTCTTGTATATATAGAAACAGTGGAAAAACAAATATGCCATAAATGAAAACCAGATGCCACCAGATCGTTCAAAAATGACTATGAGAGACTTCATATATTATCTACCAGATAACAATCCAATGTCGTAAGTAAAATTTACTTCTCTTTATTTGGGTGTGTAATGATTTATATATCACTTTTAGCATATAGTTTAATGTCTTTCAAAAGCGTGTATGTTGACAAAAATCTATTCTTTTGGATAAAAGAACAAATCCATCGTTCCTTTAGATAAAATTTGTGACAAAAATTATTGCTCACTCTCTATATTTTTGGTGGTGCCGGGATGGAGCATGGTGTTTCTTGTGCTATGTAGCCTGCTGCTGAGTGTACTTTTGCTGTGATAGTTCAAGTTCTGTAACTGATTTCTGGGGATGGTTAAGGATACCCCTTTATTGCTGAGATTAAACATAAGTTCCTTTGTTATGTTAATTACTACAGTGTAGTAAAACATCTAACCAACTTTTGTATTGCAGTTTCTATTTCTTCTATACTAGAATCATGAGCTAATTTTTTTTTTTTCTTTATGAAAATTTTAATGACAGTTTCCACAGAAAGTTTTTTTTTGGTGGTACCAGGGATTGAACTGAGGACCCTGCACTTTCCAGCAGGTGCTTATTCTACTGAGCTATCTCCCTGGCCCCAATTTTTTTTTTTAAATTAATTTTATTGAGAAACAAATAGCAATGAGGCAGTTTCAAAACAGGTTAGTAGGATAGTTACAATGATTAATACATTGCATATTGTTGTCTTCATAGTAGTTATTCATGGAACAAGATGCAGACATGATGTCCTGTCCAAACACTATTAGTACAAATCTTTCTTCTCATTGAATTAAGAAAAAGTAGCTGTATATCTGACCTCACTATTTTGTATATACACATGCAAAATGGCCATTTATTTATTTATTTATTTATTTTGGGGAACTGGGGATTGAATTCAGGTCCTTGCGCTTGCCAGGGAAGCGCTTATTCCACTGAGACGTCTCCCCATCCCCTGGTCCTTCATTTATATCTCCTTTTTTTTTTTTTTTTTGCAGTACTGGGAATTGAACTCAGGACCTTGTGCTTGCTAGGCAAGTACATATTCTGCTGAGCTATCTACCCAGCCCTTCATGAAGCTGAGTTTTATGCTGGACCTTGTAATATAATGCAGTGGGAGTTTGATGAACATGTTCTGGAAGAGCAACACTTCAATTAGTATGACATGGAGTCAGGCAGCAGGCTTATTTCTTTCTTCAGTATTGTGTTGTTTATGGCTTAGCAGGTAGAGGTGGCATATTATTCAGTATAGGCCTTTTTGGGTTTACTAGGCCTCTTACCCAAGTAGGGAAGGGGGGCAGGGAAATGGCTCAGTGGAATAAGTGCTTCCCTGGCAAGCGCAAGGGCCTGAGTTCAATCCCCAGTTCTACAAAACAAGCAAACAAACAAAAAACAAGAAAAGGCAGGGCTAGAAACCTCGGTTTTTGAGTTGTTTGACATCTAGACATTGGAAACAATCCACGTAGGTCGTTTCATGCCTCCCAGGGTGCCTCATTACTAAGGAATCAGAGGATAAGAACATTTCCTGTTAGGGGCTGAAGAATTCTCCCTCCATCTTTCTCTTCTCTCTTCTCTTCCCTTCCTTCTCCTTTCTTTCCCTTGTCATCCTCTTCTCTGCCCTTTTTTTTTTTTTTTTTTTTTTTGAGGTGGATATTGATTGAGCCCAGGGTGTTGTTCATGCTAAGAATACACTGTACTGGGGCCGAGGAGATGGCTCAGTGGAATAAGCACTTCCCTGGCAAGTGCAAGGGCCTGAGTTCAATCCCTGGTTCCACCAAAAAAAAAAAAAAAAGAAAGAATACACTGTACTAATTCCTTAGCCATGAGTAAAAAATTGGTTGTTGGATTACATCATTATTTAAGCTCAATCACACGCACGCACGCACACATGAACATATTGAAGTTAAGATAATTTTGTTCTTGCCTGCAGATAGAATGAATAAAGTATAAATGAATATTTATTAGAAAGTATTTTGTTATTTCTGTTTAATAGTTCTTCACTGGAACAAGAAAAGAAAACTGAAAAATCATTGACTACAGTCCAGACAAGAGGGTAAGCATTTTATTTTACTCTTTTGAAAATATTCTATCATAAATACATTATTTCGTTGTTGGAGATCAAACTTGTGTTTGCGCATGGTAGGCAAGTATTCTACCACTGAGCTATAGCCCTAGTCCGATTAGGTCCTTTTTTTTTTTTTTTTTGGCAGTACTGGGGATTGAACTCAGGCCCTTGCACTTGCCAGGGAAGCACACATTCTACTGAGCTGTCTTCCTTGTCCCCTGGTCTGATTATGGGCATCATGCTGTTTTTTTTTTTTTTCTTTTTTTGTTACTGTGGCTTGAACTCAGGACCTTTTGTTTGCCAGGCAGGCACTTATACCACTGAGTTGCCTCTCAGGCTTTGCCATGTTTTTTAAAAAAATGATATCTAGTGGTGTTTCCTATTATAGTTAGATTATATTTGATTGAATTTTATAAATTGACTTATAATTACTGCTTTATTTAAAGCAACATGATGGCTTGGTGTGGTGGTGCATGCCTAAAATCCCAGTGCTCAGGAGGATCGCCACAATGAACGCCAGCCTGGGCTACATTGTGAATTCAAGGCCAGCGTGACCATGTCTCAGAAAAAAAAAAAAAAAGTAACATGAATACCTCACACTATTTGTGCAATACATAACTGAGTGAAATTAGGACTTTAAATTAATTTTGCAATTGAGCAATTTTTATTTTCTGAGAAACAATGTGTTTACATGTCCGAAATTCAAGAGAAACAAGATGAATCCTGGGAAAAGTTTTTTACATTTATTTTTCTGCCATTTGGAAGAAACAAATTTTATCTTTTTTAAATACAGCATTCCAAAAACATGAAAGTGTATGTACAGAATGGCTGAGGTGATTGTACTAAAAATTTCCATCAGTTTGTTTGAAAATAGCAGTTAATGTATAGAATTTTCACCTTGACTAGCTCTGCTGATACCTATGATGTAAGCAATTACATCAAGGACAGTAATGTGTAATACAAAAACCATGCTTGAATACCTGTCATTGTGGTCTTCTAAATGTATACCATTTCTCATGTCATATCAATTATTACTATACTCTCTTTAAAATAAATTTTTGAAAAATGTACTGATTCAAAATTGTTGTTCTTGATGTAATTGCTTAGATCACAGATCAGCATACAGAAGGGCCGGCCAAATAGCTCAGTGGATTAAAGCACCTGCAAGCAGGCGCAGGGACAAGGATTTGATCCCCAGGTCTGCTGTGCTGGCCCTGCCCTCTGGGATAGTGTGGTGGTGTGTGCCTATCATCCCAGCTCTTGGGAGGCTATAAACAGGCGGATCATTGCGAGTCCAATCTAGTAGTGAGACCCTGAACACCCTGTAGACCCTTTCCTATGGGGAAAAAAAAAATTTACAGAGTTAGTCATGGTGAAAATTCTACACATTAACTTTTTATTTTTTATTTTTTAAATTTTTATTTATTTATGTGTGTGTGTGTATGTGTGGCCAGCTCAGCCCACCAGGGGGCGGGGAGATGGCTCAGTAGAGTAAGCGCTTGCCTGGCAAGTGCAAAGGCCTGAGTTCAATCCCCAGTTCCGCAAAAACAAAGCAAAACAAAAAACAACAACTGATGAATATTTTTACTATAATTCAATTCAAAAAAAATTTTACTACAATTCAATTCTTTTTTTTTTTTTTTTTTTTGTATTTCAGGGAAGGGTCTACAGGGTGTTCAGAGTCTCACTACTAGATCTGACTCCTACTGATCTGCCTGTTTATAGCCTCCCAAAAGCTAGGATTACAGGCGCACTCCACCACGCCTAGTTTCTTTCAATGGCAGTTTCAGTATACCGGGCCAGCATGGTATAGAGTTCAATTCTAAAAAAAGAAAAAAGAGAGACAACAAAAATTTAAGATTTCTTAAAAGTGGGGTCAGGGAAATAGATCAGTGGAATAAGAGTTTGCCTGGCAAGCATAAGGTCCTGAGTTCTATCTCTGGTACCACCAAAAAAAAAAAAAAAGTTAAGTCAAAGTTTCTTGAAAGCAAGTGATAGTATGCAATCATATGTCCAATCTTACATAACTTTATCTGTTAATCTGAGCAACAGATGTGATGATAAAATAGATCATATATCATCCATTGTTAATCAGCTATTCTTGTTTTGAAAATATATAACATGTATTGTTGCATGTTACCCTGTTTCTGTCTTTGTTTCTGATTTTTGTCCTTTTGTTTTTACTTTTAAAAATAAAAATAAAATTAAGCATCTCCTAGCAAATGTGTACTTTTCCTTTGCTTCAGATATCAGAGTTAGAGCAATTTGCATGTACTTTCCTCCCATAGGTCTAGTCCTGATGCCATTAGATGTGGTCTTAGTTTTTTGTTTTTGTTTTTGCATTTAGTACAGAGTCTACAGGGTCTCACTACACAGATCAGACTTGTAGTGATCCTTTTGTTTACAGCCTCCAGAGAGTTGGGATTACAATGCACCATCATGCCCAATCTTAGTCGCCTTCTCAGCATTGTCTCATGGGTGGGGCTTGCACAGCATGCTGGGGATTGAACCAGGTCCCTGCCTCTGCCTAAGCAGGTGCTTTAATCTGCTAAACTGTCTGGCCAGCCCTGTGGTCTTAGTTTTTGTACAAGTTCCTGTGTGCCTCCATATCCTGTCCTAAGTTAGCCTGCTCTCAAATCCTATCATGAGACCTCCTGTGAAGTTTACTGCAGCGTTGTACTGTATTTCAGAGTGGTGATTGTGTAAGCCTAGGGGAAGCATTGACAGTCTGGGCTGTTACTTCAGGGGCCAAGTAAGTTTTAGCACTTGACTAGGACCCACATTTTCTTAAAGCAAAACTCTGAATTTTAAAAATAGGTTATGATTCACAGGTTTGTAGTTACCTTTGCTTTAATAAAACTGAAGCAGAGGGCTGGTGAGATGGCTCAGTGGTCTAAAGTACCTACTTAGAACAAGCTTAGCAAAACACAGGGACCGTGGTTCAATCCCCCAGCACCACATGCCAGCCAGCCCCGCCCCCTAGTGGGCTGAGCTGGCCACACACACACACACACACACACACACACACAAATAATAAATAAAATAAAAAAAAAATAAAACTGAAGCAGATTGCCAGGCCTGGTGATGCAAACCTGTAGTCCCAGTACTGGGAGACTGAGGAAGAATTGTAGGTATAAGGCTGGTCTGTGCTACATAGGCTGGCCTAGACCCTGTCTTGAAAAACTATTCCCTCACAAAAACTTCAAAACTAACTTTAAGCAGACAATATGGTAAAGTAGAAAATATATTGGATGTGGAGTCAGTTTTTGAAAGTCTAAGTTATATAGTAAAGAGCAACCCAATTACCTTTGGCTTTTTGCTCTGCCATCGTGTAATCTAGGGGAAAAGTTACTCATTTTCTCTAAGCCTTGAATGAGTTATGAGCATTCTTTTTTTTTTCCAAAATTTTATTGATAAACAGTAATGAGACAGTTTCAAATCAAATCGGAAGTACAGTTTCAACAAATAACACACTGCATTTGTTCTTCTTAGTGGTTAATTGCTGTACAAGATGTGGACTTGAGATCCTATTTACAAACACCATTAGAACAAATCATTCTATTCATTAAGAGAGTGCAACTATATATCTATCCTAACCACTTTGAATACACAGATACAAAATGGATATTCATAGTTATACCCTATTTTTTCTAAGTTCCGTTATTGAATATTATACGTGTGTAAACTCAGCAAAATATTCTAAAAGGGTCCAGTAGCCCATAATAGCATTGGGTCTTCTGTTTAACTGGCAATGTCAGAAATTATTGACCTGAGTCCCCCACAGCTCAACATAACAGCAAGAGCATTCTTAACCCTGAAGGGTTGATTGGAAACGTTAATGAAATGATCTGTAAACTAGTGCTAGATAATTGTAAGGATTATTACTGTTAATTCCATAATTGGATGGTTTACGTTTATGGCATGTGGAGATATAAAGGTGAACATTTATTTCTGTTTTGTTTTATTTACCTTTTTTGGTACTGTGGGATCAAACTCAAGCCCATGTGCATGCCAGGCACGAGCTCTACCCCTGAGCCACAACTCCAGCCCATCACTTTAGAGAATGAAATTTTCTTACTAAATGCTAGCAGATAAGACTAAGGTTCTTAGAGATGTCTCCTCAACAACACATAGTATTTTCAGTTAGGTTATAGGGTAAGTTGGAACTAGCTGAAGGTTTTTTTTTTTTTTTTTGGAGGATCTGGGGATTGAACTCAGGCCCTTGAGCTTGCCAGGGAAGTGCTTATTCCACTGAGGCATCTCCCCAGCCCCCTTTTTATTTTTATTTTTATTTTTTTTTAAAGGTTTGATTTGTGATTATTTAAAGTGTATGCTACCAGGAAACACATTTTTATATAAATGTGCTGGGTATCAGTGTCACAAAGAAGAGAAAGGTGGGGTGGGTTAATATTCCAAAGTAAAAGTTGGGGGCCTGGCCCTAGCTCAGGCCTTTAAGTGGCTGCTTCCACAAAGCTGTCAGCCTCAGGTTGCTGGAGCTCAAACCTCACACCTCTCCAGCTGGCCAAAAGTGCCCTGAAGGCATTCGAGGAACAAAAAAAAAAACAAACAAACAAAAAACCAAAGTAAAAGTTACTTAAGAGACGTCCTAGTGTAATGCACTGTGAAGCTTTTTCTTATTGTTTTTGGTGTCGGGAGTACAACCTGGGGCCTCATGCATGCTGAAGCGTACACTGTACCGTAGAGCTATGTCTACAGCTTTAGAAATACTGCTCATACCTGTGTGAATTGACTTGCTGATATATTTAGCACACAAGACAGCCAGAGTGCTCTTGATGCTGAAGACAATGACGCAGCGGAAGGGGAGACAGATGATGGCCCATTGCTGGTGCCGAGAGTGAAAGTGGCAGAAGACGGTTCTATTATTTTGGATGAAGAAAGGTAAGATATAGGCAGACAGTGCAGCTATGTGAAGAACATACCTTGTCTAAGGGGAGATTTCCTGTTTCTGAACTTGTCATTGTCACTTAGACTCCATTGTATATATTTGCTTCATGAATGTTGTAAACAGAAAAGTGGGCTGGATGAATTTGTAATTTTTAGTAATTTTTATGTTTTGTATGAAAAGATGATACTGCTGTCCTAGCTTCATTAACCTAACACCATTGTTTAACTGCACACTGAATCACCCTGCTGAACTAATAAACACATGCTGTTCTCCACTGAGGGTGGATTTCTAGGATGGACTTAGTCTAAAAGAGTGTTCACATTTTCATATTAACTAATTCTATATTCTTGTGTCCGGTGAAAACTAATGGGTATGCAGTGAAAGATAGGCTTAGCATGTGATTTTTATTTTTATTTCACTTTATTTTATTTTTTTGGCGGAACCGGGGTTTGAACTCAGGCCCTTGCGTTTGCCCAGGAAGCGCTTATTCTACTGAGCCATCTCCCCGGCCCGTGATTTTTGTTGTGGTGAGGTTTAATTTACCTTTGGTTTAATCTGTAAGTTATAACATTAAATTCCTTATATTTGGCATTGTCAAATGTAGTTGTCTTCCTAAAGTATATTTTTTAAAAAATGAGAAATAAAAAATAAAATAAAATAAAATTTGGGCTGGGAAGATGGCTCAATAGAGTAAGCGCTTTCCTCACAAGCACAAGGGCCTGAGTTCAATCCCCAGTTCTGCCAAAAAAAAATAAAATAAAATAAAAAATGAGAAATGGATATGTGAATAAGGAGGAATGAGCTGGGTGTGGTGATGTACACCTGTAATCCCAGGACTCTGGCAGCTAGGCAAGAGGATTGCCAGGAGTTTGAGGCTAGCTTGAGCTATATAGTGAGTTTAAGGCCAGCCTAAATTACAAAGTGAGATCCTCTGTCAAAAAAACAGGCATGGGGGGAACTATCCGCTCAGGTCCCCCTCCTGTCCCTCTCTTGGACAGGAGCTTTCTTTCTTTCAATAAATATATTCTGCTCATAAAAAAACCCAAAAAAACCCCAGGCATGATGACTGTTCCATTGGGCAGTTTATGCCCCTGGTAGTACACGTGGATCTACTTACTTTTATGAGTTTTTTCACTAATAAAATTAATAAAAAGCCACCCAATGTCAAACCACTTGGCAATGAGACATACAAATTATGGTCCTGTGTTATGTGAATGTGTGAAATTGATAAAAATATTTTAAGTGTTTAAATATTATGATAATGAAACATAAATGTAACACTGCTAGTAGTAATTGTTTTTGTATATTGGGTTTCATTAGTCTGTTATAATTTTACTGGTTTTAAAATAGTTGAAAGCATATTTAATTGCTTTGACTGTCAAGATACAAAATATAAATATAATAGATTGCTGGACACTATGGTTCAAGCCTATAATCCCAGCACTTTGAGAAGCTGAGCCTGGAGTATTGCAAGTTCAACTACCACGTGAACTACTTAGAGCCTATCTCACTAGAAAAAAGAGAAAAAGGTCCTGAAGATATAGCCTAGTGATAGATTGATTCTGGGCACCACATGATAATAAGACTGTACAAGAGGCAAATAGAAGTGGATGAAAGAAATATTTTAGGTGTCTCAAAAATGTCTTACAAGGGGCCTGGCCCTAGCTCAGTCCTTTAAGTGGCTGCTTCCACAAAGCTGTCAGCCTCAGGTTCCTGGAGTTTGAACCTCACAACTCTCCAGCTGGCCAAAAGTGCCCTGAAGGCATTCGA